TTTTTTTTTTTTTTTTTTTTTGAGTTGGAGTCTCACTCTGTCACCCAGGCTGGAGGACCATGGTACACACAGCCACTCCAGTGTTGACCTGCTGGGTTCCTGCGATCCTTCCACCTCAGCCTTCCAAGTAGCCAGAACTACAAGCGCGTGCTACCACGCCCAGCTAACTTCTCATATTTTTAATGGAAAAATATAAAATAGAAAAATACATATATCAGAGTACATACACACATTAAGGGCATATTGTTGATATGGACACAATTCAACTGTTTATAAGGTTAGTGATGTCACATGTACATCCTATTGTGGTTGCAGTAAAAAAAAAAATTGAAAAATACTGCTAACAGATTGAACTAATATTACTAAGATATTAAATTTAGAGATCACAACTTGTCAGGAAGAAAAGAAAAATAATAAATTCAGTGAGAAAGAGGCCCTGTCACTTTTTTTCCACTGCTGTGTCCACAGAACCTAAAATAGTGCCTGGTATATAACAGCAAAATAAATATCATTGAATGAGTGGTATATTCAGTCCCAACTTAATTTTCCAAACATATTAACCCTACAATATTCCTCCTCAATGCCATTTTCAGAGTTCATTAGATTCTTTGAGTCCAAGGACTTTTCTTGGACTCGAAGAATTTCCTTGACACAAACTGTTTCCTCAGACTAACAAAAGTCTTCCTTTTCTCAACTTACCAAACCAATTGATGCTTTTTATTACATTACATTTTATTATCAAATAATCTGATAGTCATAAAGTATATAAATATAAAATAATGAAGCATGATAAATTATAAAGTGAATATGCAGTACAAAAATATAGTTTTTCTTTATAATTCACTTAACTTTATTATATATTATATAATATATAATTATATATTAAACATTTGACTAACAATTCAGCATGCCATTTTAAAATTTAAAAGGTCTTTTGAGGCCAGGTACAGTGGCTCATCATACCTGTAATCCCAGCACTTTGGGAGGCCAAGGCAGGAAGATCACTTAAGCCCAGGAGTGCAAGACCAGCCTGGGTAACATAGAGAGACTTTGTCTCTACAAAGAATCTAAAAAATAACTGACTAGGAGTGGTGGCGCATGCCTGTAGTCCCAGCTACTCAGGAGGCTGAGGCAGAAAAATCACCTAAACCCAGGAGGTTGAGGCTGCAGTGAGTCACAACTGTGACACTACTCTCCAGCCTGAGCGAGAGTGGAACTCTGACTTTAAAAAAAAAAAAAAAAGTCAGTCGGCTCGGTGGCTCAGCCTGTAATTTTGTGCCTTTGGGAGGCTGAGGTGAGTGGATTGCCTGAGCCCACGGGTTCAAGACCCGCCTGGGCAGCAAGACCTCATCTCTACAATAAATAAAAAAATAAGCCGGGCATGGTAGCATGCGCCTGTAGTTCCAGCTACGTGGAAGGCTGAGGCGGAAGGATCACCAGAGCCCAGCAGGTCAAGGCTGCGGTGGCCGGGAGTGGCCACTGCACTTCAGTCTGGATGACAGAGACTCCAACTCGGGGGAAAAAAAAAAAGTCTTTGGAGGATGACTTAAATGACCAACATTTAATTAAAAATGAGATATTATACCAAATACCTTCTTTTAAACTCTCTATGTTTTTCATGAGCACAAAAATTATATCATTGATTATTCTCTTTCGTAAATAGAGCAATATATAAAAAGCTGAAGTCATCACTAAAGACTGAAAGCCAGGAGTTTTGGTATAGTAAATCAAATAGCTTCGCAATTCACAAATCACTCTGTGCCTCACCCACAAATAAGCCGATTTGGGATGTATGAAGAAAACAGTCTATCACAGCCACTGGTTTTGGCAACTGTTTTTTAAGAGGTTAAGTAGAATTTCACAGATTGACATTTTTTAGGTTTCCACATATTAAATATTTATTATGTTCCAGAAACCAGACTTTGGATATATATTTACATAAATGTCTGCATCACCTTCAGATCTTTGAAAAAAATTATTTGGCTGGAACTACTACTACTTTCTTCCTCCTTGGGCTATTTTTTAAAAGTCCTATGTTTTATACAGAATTATTTGTTGACACACCACAGAAAAGAGCAGGCATCATTTTTATCATTTTGCTTTTAAAATCCTTTTCCTTGTTCAACTGTATGGTAAGCAAGTAAAAATACTGAGACTGAAAAAAATTCTGCTTTCCTATTCTCCTTCAAATGCAGTATTTCATACTACCTACTAATTAGCCATCTTCAGTCAATCCCCGATTATTTCAGAGCTCACAATCTAAGAACTAATCTTCTTTCCATCACTTTAACCTTACCAGAGTGAATAGTGGAAAGTTCCAACTTTTGCAACTCCAGAATTAGGTTATAAATCTGGGAGGAGGAGGGAAATCTGACAGTAGCTGCTTGTTTTTTTTTTTTTCACTCCACTAAAACTCCCACACGGTCTAAAATACTCATGTTCCAGCATGAGCTTTGTACATCCCTGTATAAAACTTGCTTTCTTAAGCTTCACTTTTTTGCGGCTGTAGAAAAGTTTAAAATATTTCTGAAGAGATTAAATCGCTTGCCAAATACCCCGAAGTCCTCATGAATCACAAACGAAAACGTCATTTCAATCGGCAGAAAATGATATGGTATTATAGCCTCATCCACTCTACATTAGGCAGTACCATTTATTAACTTCAAGTATTATTTACCGACTTAAAGATGTGATTTTCTGGAGCCACAAAAACACCAGCGCGGGTCTCTGATTACAAAAGGTAAACGTTCTTAAATCAATTCCTTTAACGATCCCACCAGGACAGCTGATTGCTCTCTGGTTTTTCTGTGTCTACCCTATCCTGCCAAAAGCTCGCTGACTTTTGGGGTGCTGTGATTGAGGGTCCCCAAAGTGTTGCATCTGTAGTCAAAAGGTACAATGCGCCCTTCGAGGTTTACAAACGTACAATAAATGCTTTATGCTTAGAATTTATGCGACTTCCTCCTCCCAAGTCTCCGGCGCCTGCCACCTGTGCCCCTTCCATCTCCAGTCGTGCCCGCCACGGTGGTTTCCAGGGGGGGTGCTGAGGGGGAAGCGAGGGCTTCAGACTCACCCCAACATCTCCTAAATCCAGGTAAAGAGGGCCCACGCTTCCCCGCCGCACCTAATGCACCAGTCAAGAGAAACGCTCGGTCTAAGGAAAAAAAAAAAAGCCCCGCGCGGCTCCACCCAACAGGTGGGAAGGAGAAAGAAATGGACAGCTGGGCACCGAGGCCAAGCCAGGCCGCAAACTGGGCGGGAGACAGAGGCCGCGGCCCCCGCGAGGCCTGTGGCGCGGGGGCCTCCTCCCGGCCCCCCGTATCTCCCCCTCTAGCTCCTTTCAGGGCGCCCGCCCAGGCAGACCTTACGGTGGAGGCCACTCGATGCCATGAGCCGATGCCCGGGCCGACCTAGCCGAAGATGGCACGTCCGCCGACGACGTCCACACAGCCACCGCAGCCGCCGCCGCCGCCACCGCCACCAGCGCCGGAGACGCCTCGTCAAGAGCCCGGTGCGCATGCGTCCGAGTCCCTGGCGGCGAATGGGTCACGTGGCTCCGCCGCGCGCGAGCCCCACCCCCTCCGCGATTGCTACCGCCCCGCGGCTCCGGCCCCGCCCCCGCCGCCTCCAGCCCCGCCCCCGCCGCCCGAGAGCGCGGTGGAGCTGCTTCTATCTGACTTTCTATTTGCAGGCACTTCCCAGGAGGAAAGAGGGTGTTCGAACCCCCGGACTTAAATCAGACAGCACCAGGACGCCACCCAGCGAGTAAAATATTGTTGTTCCTTTTGGACAAATCTGAGATTTTTTCCAACAATTGCCCAGGATTTTCTCCTAAAAATTTACCAGAAATTCAGTCTTAAACCCCTAAATCTCAAGCTGGTATGGACGCTGGTCCCACTCAGGTTTCCTGAAAACGAAACAGTCGTGGACTTAGGGGTCTGGAAAACGGACTATTGTTAAAGAAATAGTTTTTCCATGACACTTGTGAAAGCACGGTAAGGAGGACATTTTCAGGACCGTGGCAATATGTACAGGGACCATGCAAGTAAGTCTTGCAGTGGGATCAGAGATACTGTGCTCAACTCCCAATACAGCGTGCGCAAGTGGGAGTCTATAGCCAAGGAGCAATGGTAAGTGGATGGAAAACTACTAAGAGGGAACATCAGGGACGAGGGGCTTTCTGGCTAAACACACTAGCATTCTTGCTGAAGACAGCCCAGGATAATCAGAGGACACCTAAGGGATGATGGAGGATGAAGAAGCTGATTAGATACTGAGGATGGTCAGATAATCAGGTTGGGGGTTCCTGCCAAAATGACTTAGCAAGGTTTTTTGCTAAAACTGGACTTTACAGAGGAAGTGCACTGAGAGGCCTAGCAGAAAATTCGGAAGTCTGACTAAAGCTTGGCCAAGCAAAGACTCTTTGTTGCTATTGAAGGGAGATGTGAGGGAGGGAGGGGGGAATAAAGGGAGATGTAAATCTGGGCGTGGTAGTTTACACCTGTAATCTCAGCGCTTTGGTGGTCCAAGATGGGAGGATTGCTTGAGGCCAGGAGTTGGAGATGATCCCAAGACCACATCTATTCATAAATAAGTTAGCAAGGTATGGTGGCGCATACCCGTAGTCCAGGTACTCAAGAGGCTGAGACAATATTCCCTTGAGCCAAGGAAGTTGAGGCAGCAGTGAGAGCCTTGATCATACCATTGCACTCCGGGCTGGTAAAACAATGAGACCCTGTCTCAAAAAAGCAGGGGAGGGCAAGGGGTGGGGATATGTAAATTATCCTCTGGACAAGCGAAGGGAATTTTATGTTGACAACCTTAGCAGTTCTCTTCAGTTGTATCCCCATACCCACCCACCTCTAAAAAGTTTGTTTTTCAAATCTGGCCTCCCTTCCTTTAACATCCTATTGCAATTCTGCCCTGTATTTCCCCATCGCTTCCCATGCATTCTCTTGTCAAGACTCCGTAGTATCACAACTGGGCTCCAAGTCACTCCTTTGGAATCTGTCTGCTTCTAAAATATTTCTGACAAGACAGTGTTTCCTGTCCACAACGCTGTTAATCATAAATCCCCTCAACTGCACCTTTGCTTCCAAATATCAAATGCTTAGCACTGCGTGGTAGCGCGCGCTTGTAGTTCTGGCTACTTGGAAGGCTGAGGTGGAAGGATCGCCGGAGCCTGTGAGTGTGCCACTGCACTCCAGCCTGGGTGACAGTGAGACTCCAACTCAAAAAAAAAAAAAAATTCAGCCAGGCTCGGTGGCTTAGCCTGTAATCCTGCGCCTTTGGGAGGCTGAGATGAGTGGATTGCCTGAGCCCGCGGGTTCGAGACCCGCCTGGGCAGCGAGACCTCATCTCTACAATAAGTCAAAAAATCAGCTGGGCGTGGTAGTGCATGCCTGTAATTCCGGCTACTTGGAAGGCTGAGGTGGAAGGATCTCCGGAGCCCAGCAGGTCGAGGTGCGGTGGCCGGGAGCGGCCACTGCACTCCAGTCTGGGTGACCGAGTGAGACTCCAACTCAAAAAAAAAAATTCAAGCTACCTTTTACTTTCATCAGACTGCTCCGAGTTGCAGCTTTCCCCCTCCATTTGCCTCTCCTACTCTTCAAGATAACTTTGTTTTGTATTCTGTGATGGTGAGGCCATGGCTCCCACAGATTTAACAGCAGCTTTTAAATGTTTGCTATGGGAAGGAACAGTCAAGGGAGTGATATATTGGGAAGACAGGCCAAAGTTTGCTGCTGGCACTGTTACTCAGTAACTTAGGCTGATGTGGCCTTCACTCCTTTTCTAGTGATCTATCACAGAAACAAAGAACAGAATATCACATGTTCTCACTCATAAGTGAACCCTGAACATTTACCATAATACTGTAAGAAAGGAATTGGCAGTAGCAGGATACTGGGGCGGGGGGCGGGGGGAACGACACAACATCAATAAGGGTACCTGATATTGTACCCCAAATCTTTCAAATAAAATAAAAATTTAAAAAGATTTAGCTCAAAAAATAAAAGAAGATGTAGTTCAGTCCTTCTGAAAGTGATTTATTTGGATCCTATGTTGCTGCTGTTTCTGGATAACTTATTAAATTATTAATTTGTGTAATGTTTTCACAGCTATAGAAATATCCAAACAACAGAGATATTTGCATTTTAATTGCTAATCTTCTTTCCTTCCATTTCCCTATTCTAGGTCTTTGTGTAGTCCTGTAACCAGGTTATTAAACTCTATCTATAATTGGTCTTAAATTGAACAAGTCACAAGGATTCTGCTAGGAAAAGGAAAGATTATTTGGGGCTAGATAGCTGAATTTGAGGCACACTTTTTTCTCACCATGGCCTGTTCATATTGTACCAGAGATTATCAGTTTCTTCTGTAGCCACTGAAGGAACAAAGAAGTGCTGAGAAGACAAAGGTGTTCAAGATGAAGAGGTTACCTCAAGCAGAAATTTAATGACCAAAGGCAAAATGGCCAGGGTGTGCGTTCTGGCAATGAGCATCAACAATTCAAGCCAAAGAGGCCAGAGGACATACATGGCCCAATGCACGGAGTGGCCCAGTCCATACACACTGAAGCTGAGACTGACAAGGACCTGTAGGGCTGAGATTACAATGTGTAGTGACACAGTGATCTATCTCCCTCTTACACTCAGCTGTCTTAGGAGCGAAGGGAAAGAGTAAAATCTGAAAGTGTTCCAAAAACTGAATGAGAGGCCAGGTGTGGCGGCTCACCTGCATTTTGGGAGGCCAAGGCAGGTGGATCGCTTGAGCGCAGGAGTTGGAGAACCAGCTAGGCAACATAACAAGACCTTATCTCTACAATAAATCAAAAAAATTAGCCGGGCATTGTGGTACGCACATATAGCACCTCCTCAGGAGGCTAAGGTACAGGAATCGCCTAGGGCAGGAGATGGAGTCTAAGGTGAACCATGATCATGACACTGCACTCCAGCCTGGGCAACAGAGTGAGATCTCAAATTGGAAACAAACAAAAAAACCTGAATGATCCATGAATTAATAATATCAGAAATGAAAGAAGGTAGCAGGGTGCAGGGACTCAAGTCTGTAATTCTAGCACTTTGGGAGGCAGAGGAGAGAGGATTGCCTGAGCCTACAGGTTTGAGACCAACCTGAGCAACATGGCGAGACCTCATTTCTATAATAAATCAAAAAATTAGCCGGGCGTGGTGGCATACACCTGCGGTTCCAGTTACTTGGAAGGCTGAGGTGGAAGGATCACCTGAGCCCAGCAGGTCGAGGCTGTGGTGGCCGTGAGTGTGCCACTGCACTCCAGCCTGGGCGACAGAGTGACTCTGACTCAAAAAAAAAAGAAAGAAAGAAATGAAAAGAGGGAAAGAATGAAACACCATAGATCCATATTTTTGCCAAACAACCCACCATATTCAGACTTTTATGTTTAGGGTAATCTTTTTTATTCATTATGGCAGAAATTACTTGTCTGTAATTAGAAGTGCAACAAATATAAATGGTGAATCCTGTGATGCCCATGAAAATGTACGTTTCAGATCCACTAATAAGGGGAGCATAATTATTTATGCCCCCTGCTGCTGTGCTCTGAAATCCATCACCATATTTGTGTCACAACCATCCTTCCTATAGGCTACTCCCAGCCAATGACAAAACATAGCAGGGATACTTTGGCTTATCCCTAGGAGATGTGGAACACCTCATGAGCAGCTTTGGCTTGAGGACTCCCAGTCAGTCCTGTCTGAAACTTCTTTCCTTCCCTTTCTGCAATAGTGGGGACAGAACTGTATCATTATCTAAAGGTTCTCTAAGCTTTCTCTGATTTCCTCTCTATTCCCCTTACAGGAATTTTTCTCCACAATCTTGTGGACATCTAATCTCATTATGGCATCTGCTCTTTGGAGGACCCAGACTAACAGAAGACCTAATCAACACAAATGTGACATTTAATGCACATGTGTCCTCCCAATTGATTTCATTCCCTTTCATATGTCAATGACTTCTGCAGGGGCCATTTTTTATTTTGTTTAGTCACCCAGCATCTGAAAGCCCTTCATCTGTTTGGGGCATCTCTTCCTTCTAAGGTAGAGCCTGCAGCCCACTGTAGAAGCTGATATTGCCAGATACTACTTTCCTAGCCACCCCCGTCCCACATACACATACACACTTAGAACTATAAAGACAAACATATAACTTGATCTCCTTCTGCCAAGCCTGCTTATCCCATACTAGACTCAGAAGCTTAACTATTTGTACCCCCTAAAGCTATTGAAATACGTACCTAAATAAAAAAAGAAATTCATTCATGAAGATATGGGTCACACTTGGACTCTTCTGGTGCTGGTTAGTGCAGAGGCAGCAGGAACATCCATTCTCTAGAAGCATTCGTAGTAGCCATTTTGGGCCAACCATTATGGTGTATGTGGTATCAGTTGTGGAAGCTGTGGTGGCAATGCTCTGTAATTATGCTAGGAGTGTCTTTCCCAGACTG